TGGGCCTGACTGGCTGGCTTGGAACTTGCTGTGTGACCAGGCTGGCCTCAAACTCACAGAGATTCGACTGCATCCACTTCCTGGGTGCTGTTATTAAAGGTATGCATCATCATAGCTGGCAGAACAGCTGTGATAAGACTGACCCCTCAGGTCCTGAGCAGGGCAATATCCAAGGTGTTAAGGGCACTTGGAATGACAGGAATTCCTGACCTTTTCCCCTACACTTCTTCCTCCCACCCCCACTCCTCTGGTCTTTGTCTGACTCTCTTAGACTCTTGGAAGACAGCAGGATTCCTGCAGAGTTTAACATCTTTTTATTCTCACATTCTCACAGGCTGTGAGGAGCAGCTGGCTTCAGGTAGGGGCCAGTAGAGACAGAGTAAAGAATAAAGAGCAGAAAAGATAGCCAAGGGCACAGTAGGAAATGAAGACATGCTGGGAGGTCCAGGAAGCATTAGCCAGGATGAAATGTATCCCCGAGGAGGGACCGCAGAAGCAAGTAGACAATGACTGGATACAGTTCAAACTCAAAACTCAGAAGTTACAGAACATTGCCCTATGCATCTGGCTACAAGGCTCCTGAAGAAGTCAGCCTACAGGGAGCCGGGAGCTCTGTGCTCCCGTCCATAGCGCGACTTTGCACATCCTTGGGCAAGCAGTTTGGTAATTATCAGTGTGACTTATGGTCACTGCCAAGAAATGACATTAGCTGGAGTCGTGCTTCCTGCCACCATGATGGAAACACTCCAGGTACATAAAAGAATTATGGGTTATGGCTCTTTTATAGTCTTGAAGTGAGATGTGCAGCTCAAGCTGATGCAGAGTTCTGTCCCAGGCTCCCAGGGGGTGTGCTACTACGGATACCATGTGTGTCACAGGAACCTCACTTTCCTTGGGTTTATAAGCACCAACTTTGTGGTCAGGCACACCCGAGCTCAAATGGCATTCACTCAGCAAACATAGGCAGTTCCCCAGACCTTTCCAGCCTCAGCTTCCTCATTCATAAAAATACAAGGCAAAGTGATATCACAATAGGATCTCAGAAAGGAAAAAGTAAAATAGGTGCTATACACGCGGGGGCATTGCTGCCAGCCTGGATTGCCATTGACTAAAAGAAATGAATGTCTAACTCACAGTTTTAAACACCATTGATGGGGAACTAGAGGCAGATGATTGTCATTGATGTAGACATGCAAAGTGAATACTATTCCAAATATTGCCCCAAGGAAAGTTCTAGCCTAATATGGTACCAGCATGGCTGATTCCCCAGGGGAAAGTCCTACATTCTTTGGAAGTCATAGATTAATTGAAGCTCACTGAGGAGCTGAATGTTGAATTAGGTGATGGTCATGCCATACCTAGCCACATAGACCTTCATCTCTGAATTAGGCTGCACAAGAGATGCCAAGCTCTGTGACAATTGGCTCAAAACGATAAGGCGTGGTCAATAATTAGCAGTCCTACCCCCACGTCCAACTCAGAGAAGAAGACAAAGCCAAATGTGCCTGCACAAGAGATGCCAAGCTCTGTGACAATTGGCTCAAAACGACAA